ATATGATCAGTATAAATGGCTAGCTACAAGAGGAGTTGATGAAGAAGCTTTACTCAAAGGCCTTCCCTTGGATCTACGTAGAGACATCAAACGCCACCTCTGTCTCGACCTTGTTCGACGAGTAAGTTATACAACCTGAAAACATTAGACCTCATGCAACAATTACAGCTTGATATGTAACTATGTTTAGGGGATCAACAGGTACCGCTGTTTGATCAAATGGATGAAAGGATGTTAGATGCAATCTGTGAGAGACTTAAACCCGCATTGTGCACCGAAGGCACTATCCTAGTTCGCGAAGGTGATCCAGTCAACGAGATGCTCTTCATAATCAGAGGCCACCTAGATTCGTACACTACAAACGGTGGCCGTACCGGATTCTTCAATTCATGCAAGATCGGCCCCGGAGACTTCTGTGGTGAGGAACTACTGACATGGGCGTTGGATCCTCGTCCTAGTGTCATTCTCCCATGTTCAACTCGCACGGTTAAAGCAATATCAGAAGTAGAGGCCTTTGCTCTCAGAGCCGAAGACCTCAAATTTGTGGCATCACAGTTCAGAAGACTGCATAGTAAACAGCTAAGACACAAATTCCGTTTTTACTCACACCAGTGGAGAACATGGGCTGCCTGTTTCATACAAGCAGCGTGGCGTCGGTTTAAAAAACGAAAGGAAGCGGCTGAACTACGAGCTAAGGAGAACCATATGATGGCTGCCGAAGCTGAAGCACTGGCACCGGCTTCAGGGTGGGCTATATGTGCAGCCAGGCTAGCAGAAAGCACAACTAGGAGGGGTGTTAATAATATGCATTCAGGGTCTGCTTCTGGGGTTGTCAGCTCCTTGCGGAAACCCGCAGAGCCAGATTTTTCTGTAGAAGAGGAATGAATTTGGTTACACTCCCAAACGGGGATCTAGTAGTGTGTAGCTAATCACTAAGAGATGCCTGTAAATTTTCTTTGTTTCTTCAGTGGCCTGTAAACAAAGGTGGAGTTGATTATTGTTTCAACATTTGCATCTATAAATACATTACAAGGTGGAAATTCTTCACAGCCTAACAATAACTTCCTTTTCCAGTCATATTAAAGCTGAGAAACAGGAGTGTCGAAACCGTCTTTCGGATGGACCGGATTCGACTTGAATGAATTGGGTTAGAGTCGCCACCGACCATTTTAAAACGAATTTAGGTGGATCGGACGCCATCTTACCTGATCTGTGTTTTACCATAAATGTATCGGGCTCGGGAGTCGGTTACGGCCAAGGAAGGATTAGCACCATTAAACCGCCCTTTCGGTGCCAATTAATTTGTCGGTTGTCTTTAATTACGAAAATTTGAAATTTAAATAAAAATTTTAAAAATTCGATTCGAACTACTTACCTTGAATGATTGGAATTTCTCTAAAAAAAAGAATCGAAAATATTAGAAAAAAATAATTAAATAAAAAAATAAAACTAACTAAAAAATCAATCAAAGGAGAGAAAGAAAAAAATAAAAATAAAAATTAAAGAAAAAAATAAAGGAAAAAATATTAAATAAATAAATAAACAAAAGTAAAAAAAATAATAATAAAACAAATTTAAGGGAAATAAAATAAAGTAAATAAATAATAATAATAATAATAATAATAATAATAATAAATGTGAAATAAAATAAAAAACAATATGAAGGAAAAAATTGAAAAAGAAAAAAGAAAAATGTTAAAATAGGAAGAAAAAAAGAAAAAGACGGAAATGAAATAAAAAGTTAAAAAAATAAAAATAAAAATAATAATAATAAATAAGGGTTGGGGATTAAATAATAATTAAACCTAAACAAAACAGTGACTAAAATGAAATACTAGCAAATGTAATATCCAAAGTCAAACTCTAATGAAAACAACAAAGCAATTCAGAGTCAGACTAAAATAAAATAATTGAAACATTGATGCTCAAAATAGAAGAAATCAAATGTAACACCCCCAACCCGTATTAAAAACAGAATACGAGTCAGAGGTGTCACATTGACTTTTCAAAACATTTACTTGTATAAAATAATGAGTAATTTAAAACTTTTATAACATATAATTTATTTAAAACGTTTACAAAACAATTCAGAGCTTATACAATATATTCTTTTGAATGCATGTCAACTAGAACTTTATATATTAAAATACATATTATTCACCTATCTTCTGATATGACTTTCAGTAAGGAGAACTGATATGTCTTGTTTCACATTGTTCTTCACTCTTCTTGAAACCTACGTGTAAATCACTTACACGCTAAGTCTATGACTTAGTGAGACAATAAATATATAATGTAAACTATAACTTGTAATCATGCATGAACAATTACTGATATCACATCATACCCAACATATATCTATTCATATATCAAATACACATATGCATATAATTATCTTCTTTCCTATCATTATCATATTATTATCATTCATATTTCTATTCTCTTGTTTATATGATCTATTATGTTCATATCGTATATCTTATAACATATACAATAATCATTAAGACACATATATCATATTATATAATTCATAGCACAAAACATATATATATATCATATACATTGTATTCAATGTTATCTCTTATTAGCCCATGTACACCTGTGAGAACTGTAGATATGTGAATCTATTGAGGTTGTGCACTATGCTGCCACCACAGCTCGTAAGGGATCCCACTAGGGGCTATGAAAATTTTGTCCCAGAGGACCTATGTACTGTATTTGTCCCGAAAGACCACTCCTTAAGAACCATATACATATTCCAGTGGATCAAATCTGTCTCAAAAGACCCTGTAAATGTTATAAAGGATACATATATGTCCCGAAGGACCACGTAGAACCCTCGACTCTTGGCATGCCAACTATACCTATAGCTCTCGTATCATATAACATGGGCATTTTCACTTATATCATTCCACATATACATTTTCATATCATATGTCATATAAGATCATAACTTCTTTCACATATACATGTAGTCACATAGCTTCTTTTTATATTATCACATAGTTCATATCTTATAATTTGTTTTCTCATGTTCACATATATCATGTCATATGGCTCATATCTTTCTCATGCAATCACATAGTTCAGTTTCACATATGTTCATATATATATATCACATAGCATATACTTCTTATATCATTACATACAAAAGCATGTTAACACATATAATCATGCAACATATACAATAATATGTCACCACATCGACTCATGCACACATATGAACCATAGCAAACACATACTTCTATCTAGGAATTCATGCATTTTACTATTGGAAATAGACTTGTCGCAAGTCTTATTTCCCATTAAACATCATATACTAAATAATATGCACTCACCTGGGCCTCACTAATTTCCAATCCACTTTTATGATTTCCTTTCTTTCGATCGAATCTTGACTTGATAATTGTTCCGGAACTTGTGCGTGCTCGATATCTATATAATCATACATTGATACATATCAGTATACAATTGATATATTCTCATCTATCATTTCTTAGACCAAAAGAAATGTCTATTTCAATTTCCCCTTGAAGTGCATCAATACATTCTACAGTTCATTGATGCATTCTTTAACATGTGCATCGATGCACTACCCATGCATTGATACGCCAATCACCTTCGATGTTTTCATTTTAAGGGGGTGCATCGATGCACTCCTTATGCATCGATGCGCTAATTACATTTGATGTTTCTTCTTTAAAGAGTGCATCGATACACATTGAATGTGCATCGATACACCTTGCCCAGAATTTGCATTTTAAGCCCGAAAACCATCAACTTTTCACTTAATTCTTCTATTTTAAGTCCCTATCATGTTATTAAACTCAATTACCATTACTTAAACCAACTTATATCCATATAAACCATCTTTATCTTCCATATCTCATCACGATTCTTAAAATTTAAGAATCTTGCTAAACTTTTAACTTTGTTATTAATCCTTTCTAACTTCATAAATCTCTTATTCTTTTTGATGACAAGTCAAATTTAACTTTCAATTCTTATTACACTCTATTTCAATATTTCACTCAAGAACTTCAAATCTTTAATCTTCCCTAACTCCTTTATCTTTTGATTTTAAGATAACTTAAGCTTTCCTTAAGCTTAGTTATCATCTACTGATCATAACCCAACCTTAAATTTATCCAGAAATTATCTAAATAGAAGACTCACCTTTGATTCAAGCCTTCACGTATGAAGAAGGAAAAAGAGAATAGAAGAGAACTCTGAAACCTTTTCTTTCTTCCCACGTGGTTTCCTTATCTTATAAGGAAAATAAAAATCTTCATTGTCAAATGACCCTTTTGCCCTTCAATTCATCTAATAATTACTAAGAACTTTTATGATTTATTTCCAAATAAATCATTGAACTAATCCATGGTTCTACTCTAGTCACCAAATTCTGAAACTTTACAATTTGATCACTAACCCGGTATTGAGGATGATACATCAAAAGTGTAACCCATGGCTAGAAAATAACATTACAAGGAATGAGGGACACATGCTGCGATTAGGCCCCATATCAAAATTACGCAAACAACCCCTAGGGAAAATGACGTCGTTTATCGTGAACTATAAAAAGCCTAAAGCTAGGCTTATTTCCCATTTTCACTTCATTTTACACTTTCATCAGAAATAATGAGAGAGAGAGAGAGAGTAGAGAGTTCTCTCAATTCTCCGTCGGAGAATAAGGTCGGTCTGCCGCGTCGGCCACCGGCGACGGTGACCGAAAAACCTATAACCCCCCAAAAATATCCTCCTCTACCTCCTCAACACTAATCCGTAAAAAATTCCCACATAAAGGCCCCCAAAAACGTAGATCTACGTTTTTAGTTTCGGTTTTTTACCTCACCGACGATGACTCTTCGGCTCCTGGTGTATTTGGCTTTGAATAGTTTATGGTTCATTATCGTTGTTTTTTATTGCTTGTGATGTTGGCTTAATGGTTTTTGGTTGTTTGATATGGGTTTGTGGTTCTATATAACGCCTCGATTTACTATTTTTTCTCGGGTTCTCTCGATGATGTATTGTTGTTGTTCAGTTTGCTCGGTTTCTGTTGTGTACTCTCGTGGGTTCTTTGTTGATGCTTGGTGTCCCCGCTCTCTGTTTGGTTCTGTTGATACCCCTTCGGTGTTGTGGGTTGTGGGGTATTTATACCCACTACCGATGTTCGCTATCTCATATTATCATGGTAACGTGCCCGCCGTTGGCAGGGGATTTCGGGATGGGGCAGCCCCGATTTCCCCGACCGAAAATCCCGGTGCTGACTGGTGCGTGGTTGTTGGCATTCAGTCTTCTGGAACTCTCTTTGACTTGATATTGACTGTTGGATTGGGTCAGATCCAAAGGTCCAGATCTGGCTGCGGCTTGATGATTTTTTTAGAGTTAAACAAACCCTAACTCCTTTGCGATGTTGGTCGTTGATCTCTCCTGATCTAACAGTCCCCTGTTGAGCGGCGTTGTTCCAAGCGTGAAAACCCTAGTTGTTTGGGCTGGTTCAGGCCTAACAGTTGGACCTGTACATTGGACTTGATTTTTTTGGACCCTGGACAGAAAAGAAAAAAAAGAAGAAATAAATAAATAAATAAATAAATAGGAAATAAAAACAATAATAATAATAAACAATAATAATATATAAAAAATTCAAAAACATATAATATATAAATTTTCAAAATGCTTTTTTTAAAAACTATATATTATACGTATTTTCAAAAACGTTTTAAAAAACTATATAATATATATATTTTCAAAAATGTTTTTTAAAAACTATATATTATATATATTTTCAAAATGTCTTTTAAAAAACTATATAATATATAAATGTTTTCAAAAATGTTTTCAAAACTATATACTATATAATTTTCAAAATGTTTTCAAAACTATATACTATATATAATTTTCAAAATGTTTTCAAAACTATATATTATATATAATTTTCAAAATGTTTTAAAAACTATACAAGATATATTTTTGAAAACCGTTTTCTAAAAATTATATATTATACTTTGTCAAAAAATGTTTTGAAAAAAAAACTATATTACTATATATATATATATAATAAAATAAATAAATAAAAAGAAAACAAAATAACTTCGAACGAAAATGAGTGTCTACGAGAAGAATTTAGCGATGTATTCTGGAAAACTCAGTTTACAAGTTTTATAATTGTCATAGACATTCGAATTTTATCATCTTATTCATAGTATGATAAACTTTGAGTTTGAAGACATATAAACGTATTCTCAAAGTTGGACTAGTTCCCAATTACATGCATCACAATTCCACACATCTTACACTTTTGATGACATAGGAGTTCTTAAAAGCAAAACCAGAAGACATAAATAAATGCCAAAGTATGAGTTCAATCATTATGATGTTAACTTTAGGTGCCCACTTTTCTTTGACTGGACTAACTAGCTTTCTTACCCTTTTAATGCTACCAATCTCTTTCCCTACCAAATGGGACATTAGCAAAAATATTTCATGTTTTTTTCTGGCCAATCCCCCTTTTTTAACATATAGCTATTGGTTAATCTTTGAGGGGGGGGAAAAGGGAAAAGCACACTCTTTGGACTCTATGCATTAAACTAAGGATATGGTTGTAATTATCTTATATCTATTTCTTGATAGTTGATAATACAAATTATCATTATGTTTTGGTGCTCCATTTCACATGCTTTAAAGATTTTAGGTTATCATTGCGGCTGGGCAATGTTGATATCATATAAAGCGCACATTTTCACAATACCAAGAAGAAAAAAAAGGGTTATTTACTCCACTTTTAGATTGAACAAAGACACATTTGATGACGTTAAAATTTTCCTGTAAAAAGAGGGACATTTGATGACATTAAAATACACAGAATTGGACCCCTAGAAGTTGATAATCAGACAGTATTCCTCCATTATATCCCAGCACCAACCGTCAAAAGCCATAAGGGTGTAAAATCATGGGCCCATTGTCCTTCGTCATGCCCAAAGCCATACCTTATTTCATGGGCTTAGTCATTAGAAATGGACCCACTTTGACTATTGGCCTCGGCTAGCCTGGCTTCAGTCTTAACTTGGTATACTGGCCAAAAATTTCAACCGAACAATTAATTGAATGTCACAGAAGACACTCCCAAGGAAAGATAATTATTTAATACGACGCTATACAAACGCCACTAAAGTAAAATTCTATCACGACATTTGTTAAAAAAAAGTCACTATAAATGAACCCTATTGTGACATTATACAAACGCCGCTAAAGTACTACTTTATCACGACGTTTGTTGAAAAAATGTCATTATGAATGAACCCTATTGCGGTGTTTATATAAAACACCGCTAAAATACTACTCTATCACAACGTTTTTTGAACTATTGTTGCGTTTGATATAAAAAAAAGCCACATATATACCAAACTATTGTGCGTTTGTAAATAACGCCACTAAAGTAGAACTCAATCACGGTGTTTATTAAAAAAATACCACTATAAATGAATTCTATTATGTCATTATACAAATGCCGCTAAAGTACTACTCTGTTGCGATATTTGTTGAAAATGGTCACTATGAGTGAACCCTATTACGGCGTTTGTATAAAAATACAACTAAAGTTATTATTTTGTAGCGTTTGGATTGTAAACGTCGCTATATATTTAAAATTAGTGACGTTTACTCTCAATACGCCGCTAAAAAACTGCTATAATTACAAAGAATGATAACGGCGGGTCTCTTGTCCCAATGAAAGACAAACAAACCAACTCAAGTGGTAATCCCCATAAGCATTTCTTTGGCAGCTGGGAAAAATAAACACTAAATCAATAAAATTTCGGCGTCTCGATTGCAGCCATCTCAACTTTTGCAGATGTTATTTGGAATCAACTCAAGAAAAAGAAAAAAGAAAAATGGTTGCAGGTCAGGCAGTTGCCCATAGGACTGCCTGGCCATTGGCCACTTCAACCACCATTCTAATTTCCCTATTTGATATTCACCAATATTTTCAAACAGACACTTTAGTTGTCTTAGCAAGCATGTCATGCAATGCAATCAACGCTGCAAATTTTTTTGCAGCCTAGCTATAGAATTATCCATTGTCTCAACTAAAACAAAATTTCAATCATTCAAATTATGATACTATAACAATATATTATGAAAAATATTTTCTTTGATTTTTTTTATTCATAATATAATATCATAATTTAAATGTATGTATCGGGATCGCTGACGGAGCCACATATAGTCTAGGGTGGGCACGTGCCTATCTTGGAATTCAAATTTTCTTCGGTTAATTTTATCATTTTACTAATAGTGTTCACCCTGAAATTTTATTTGTGTTCGTCACATTTAAAAATTAGTGTTGTTAGCATATATGTGCACACCTTCAAAAATATTTTTGGATTCACCATCTATTTGGGATCATACATCGTCTCGTATTCATACACCCATGTATAAATAATAAACGAAAAAGACACGCTTGTTTTGCTGCGACTTGTAATTCTTTTTATGGAATTTAAATTCTGAATGATACGACCGAAAAGAAATATATATATATATCGAAAGATCAAAGCTTTCTAATTTATCCGATTCTAGATGTCTTAATATATATATATATATATGTATATATATTTGAATTTGTGGGAAGTTTTGACCTTCATTTCCATGCATGCTTCAATCAAGTATCTCTGTAGCTTGTAATTGAAGTATCATGCAAAGGAACAGGGAATCAAGTCAAAAGCCATAAGATTGGTTCACTGTAATTATAACATTAAAGTTGAATATTTTGTCATTAGTCGCCGTCCAAGCCACTTTAATTTCCACTATTCATAGTTAGTATAATATAATATTCATTCTGTTAAAACTGTTAATTGTTGATTATTTTGTCAATTTTTTTTTTAACTTTGAATCATTATTTTTTTTTAAAAATTTATTGTTGATAAAAATATAAAAAATATATTTGAAAAACTTTAAATCAAATAGATTTTAGATATATATTTTAAAAAATTAATTATTTAAAATATTTAAAATAAAAATAAATAGTAGACACGTTTAGTATGACAGAATATGTTAAGCAGCTTGTGACATGCAAGCAAGGCTAATCGTCAAAATAATAACATTTTGATCTTTGTTGAGAGTCTTTCAAGTCCTATGAACAAGTGTGGAAAATATTGTAAGTCAATTTTATATTATTTTAAATCTAAAATTTGTTTATATATTTATTATCAAATAATTAAATAAATTTTTAAATTTTTTTAAAAAAACCAAATAAATTTATTTATCAGATAGCATGACATACATGTCAGGATTATAATGATAAAAGATAGATTACATTAATCAAATAACTTATTTGATGTATTATTAACGTACAAGGGTATGGTTGGATACATTTTTCAACGAAGAGATTGTTTTACTCCTTAAGTCTAGTTAATTTTTAAAGAAAAACTTATTTTAGTTAGTCTTGTATATCAAATAATCTCCTCTAATTGTATCAAAAAATTAAATGAATTTTCAATCCTAATAATAAATTGGGTCATACTCTTAAAAATTATGATCAAATTAACTCTTTTCACCTCTTGAATTATGATCTTATTTTTTTTAAATAAAGATTAATCTAATTTATAATTTTTAAATAAAGATCATGGTAAGAACAAAATATATATTTTTAGTATAATTGTAAGAATTAATTTAAAAATTAAATATTTTAACTATTCTTTTAATTAATTAGCATTTGATTAATTAAACGGAGAATTGGTAATAAATATAGATAAATTTCCTTTCCCTTTATGGTAGGGAATTTAGCATATTAATAATTGGAGTATTTAATTATTAATTAAATCATATGGATATACACAGTTTCAACAATGATAGAATGATAAAGGACTTAATATTCATTATTAAATCTTCAATTGATATCTATCACAACTTTGATTTTTAAGTTGATTTTTTAAATAGTATAAGAATATAAATATTAAGTGTATGATATGTACATTCTTCACTTTTTAAAGATTATTCTTTTTTTTAATA